ATGAAATCGATCATGATAATTCAGTGAAACACACTTTGACCAGTAATAACCAGTCTATGTTTTGACGTTGATAAGTTTTCAAAACAAAATGTTGTCTATTTTGAACTGATTTTTGCGATAGACTTCAGCGTAAATGTATTCAACGTTTAAAGGATATTATGTGATTGATTGCCACAGCATTACCACATATTCACTGAGATATAAATAAACAAAGTTTCTAAAGATTAGTCCAAAGAGTGAATTCAATTGATTTTCATAATTATAAATACAAGTGTTATATAAGACAAGAGTCCAGTCGATAGAGTTATATATAAAGTAAACGAAAAGAGAGTGTTTTTATTATTCACTATTAAAGAGTTTTATGCTATCGTATCGATAATATTGTAAACCAATTATTGATATATTAAACCAAATTAAAAGCATAAATGTCTGCAAATATTGATCCGTTGGTCGGTGTTGTGGAGCACTCGACCAATTTTGTCCGCTTTTCGGTGTTTGTGGCACAAAGTGGTCAAATGATCACATATTATCAGCTCGAGGTGAATAAGATACTGCCCCGGGAGGGCTGGATCGAGCAGGACCCTGTTCAAATCTACGAGACTGTTTTGCAATGCATCGAAGTGGTCACCTATAAGTTGTCACAATTGGACATCGATCTAGATCAAATCAAATGTATTGGCATTACTAATGAACGCGAGTCTACTGTTGTTTGGGATAAAATCACTGGTAATTATTTTTAATTTATATTTTTATTATTGGCTCTATTAGTTTTGACGATAAAAATGAACTAATATAACCATTTAATTAGTTTGTAACTAGTTAATTTTAGTAAGAATTTGTCAAACTTAAAAAATCATTTTCCAAACTCAAATTTTTAGTTTAATATTGCATTAATGCTTTTCCTCGAATTAATTATTGCAAAATATTTAATATTTAAATAATTATTCAAATCATACATTAATTGAATGGCGCTAATCAATGACAGCTATTGATTATTAAAAGTCGCTCATATGACATATAGTACATGGTGTATATGGCGTGCGAAAGGGCTGTCAGATATCGGTTGACAAAACTGTCACAAACATATTGACTACTATAATTAATATAAACATATAAAGTTAAGTTTTCGCAATACTTACAATTGTTAGCCTTCATGAAAGTTTTAACACTTATTTTATCGGAAATTGTATTAAAACTGTTTAAAATTTTATTATCAATACATTATCGGCGCTAACTCTAGCGATAAACGGTTTTCGTCACCAAACAGTTGCGATACTATTATATAACCGATAATTAAAGCTTTGTCTCCCCCTCTCCTCCACCCCCTATAGGACAGCCCTTTTACAACTGCATCGTATGGCTGGACAACCGGACCAGCGATTTGGTCGAGAAGATAATCGACGACATCCCGGGCCGTGACATCAATTGGCTCAAGAAGAAGAC